GCATGTCATTTAAGTGTCGGCAAGTATACTTTAACTTGAGAATGTAAGAGTAAGTAAAACCACTAGTGCATATGAAAGAAAAGACTTGCTAGACCTGGGAATGCACTTCACTGTCATGAAAATTGTCATTATTAATGGTCCAATGTGGAAATTTAGGAGGATCAGTTGGCAGAAATGTGATATAATATATATCTCCTCTGTGCATAATCACCTGAATATAAGAATTGTTATGTTTTTGTTACCTTAGAATGAGCTGTTTATATCTACAGACGGTGCGGGTCGCCTTCCATGGGGGCCACCATGTTGAACTTCCATGTTTCTACAGTAGCCCAGAGGGGAGAAACCATCACTGGCTGTGGATAGGGGCAGTCATGTTTTCTTTCGCGTTTCACAGCCACCGTAGTTTCTCCTTTGTGCATGGAAGCGGAGGGGGAAGTGACAGAGTTGCGGTATGCCACTAAATCCTACACTCTGCACCTTTTTGTCAGGAACAGGTATCAACCAAACACCACCAATCCACATTATGCAGTTTATTGTTCCACTCCAGGATGTTGAGGCAGGGGCCTCTCATCCAGTGCCAACTGGGATCAGCTCCAGCTTCCCATAACCCTATATGAATGGTTGAATAAAAAATGTTTATGTTCTACTCCTTCATTTACAGCCAGCAAACATGTGTAAAGTTACCACTGATACATTTCAACTTCCCGTATATGCATTACAACAAATGTATTTTAATGTAAAGGCAGTTGTAGGCCTTTACTGTAAAACCACACGTGTTGACAAGACCAGCATATTGAGCTAACGTTACCAAAGATTAGACATTTTATGCACTTTTTGTCAGGAGGTCGTTTGGAACTGTGCATGGACAGAATGTGTATTATTACATGTTTAACAAAGCTTGATAAAGAAGAACGACCCAGAAAACAAGGACTGATGTTACATCCTATTAACCATGAACTTTTAGCAACTGGAGGAGCAACATAGTTTAGCAGATTGGTTTTTGTTTAGGGAATAAAAGATGGAGCCATACACACACAGTTGGGTGAAAGATGTAGAAACATGCAGGTCGAGTACAAAACTTAACCTCGTAAATTTGAGTGTCCTCCAGTCCTCTATTTATTCACCTCTCCCACCACTCCATCCAATTGTCCAGATGTTCCATGTACTCATGTACCTGCTGAAATATTCACACCTGGTCTCTTTCTGCTTGGAGCCACCCAGTCCCCTCCACAGATGTGTCCTGTCAATCTAGATAAAGAGGAACAAGGCCAGCTAATCACCATGCTGCTGCGTTATAGAATGGCACTGCTCAGGGACTTTTTAACAGAAACATTATTTTATATTTCCCTCATTTCTCTCTCTCTCTCTCTCTCTCTTCACCAGCATCCGGATTGTGTCTCCATGAAGTCTGTCCTGTCTGCTTCAAATGTGCACAATACCTGTATGTAATGGCATCATAAAATGTGTTTAAAGGTTTAATGTTTGTAGAGATCATTTGAAATGTGAAAGCTGTTATATTGTTAAGCAGATTGTGCTATAAACACTATAGTGTTGGAGTCAAGGGGAAAAGAAGGGGAGGGTTTCAAGAGCACCCGTGGGGACAATAATGTGTTGTACAATATATCATTATACTGTAGTTGGCTAAGCACTGTAAACACCATGATTAATATTTCATGTTCTGAACATTGCTTTAATGGATTATTAGACTATAAACAAGCAGGGAAATGAGTGTTTAAACTGAGTCATTGCGTTAGATTTATTGGCAGGTCAGTCATCTGGAGATGATGGGATCACCTATTATTACATTTCAAACTGGACTAAGGATATCACAGGTTTCTTCATATCATGAAGGAAAAGAAAATAAAATTCAATGGGCTAAAAAAAGAGAAAAAGCTTGAGGATATATAGGTCCAATTCAATCAAGTCCTTCTTCTGCCATTTGAAACCTTCTGAATAGACAGAAAGATGATGGCTATCTCTCCTCAGACAAAGGATGAACGGAGAGTGTGTTCGGTCCATTCTCCTCTGAATCTTCATGAGTTCTCTGGGGAGTGCTTTAAGGGTTTACTTGAACTTTGGCTGATGAGAAATGGCTAACTGAACACAGACAAACATACACAACCAAAGACTGCAAATTCACAGGTGCCCCTTGTGTCTCCTCCAAATGTATGAGTGGATTTAAAGCTCAAGCAAAGCACTACAGTCTTAGTGGGGAGGGAGTGGAACAATGACCATATGTTGAGCTTGGTGCAGCCGCAGGGGGATCGATTGGTGAATATTTCATTAGAGCTTGAGCTGAATTCTTTCCAAATGAAAACATACATATCTCCCTGAAGGTGGGGCTCTACCATATGTGCATGTTTATTAATATAGCAACCTTGCTCTTTGGATATAGGTAATTACTTTTTTCTGATCCCATTACCTGCTGTTACTACAGCAGAATAATTGTGGCAATCACAAGGTAAAGTGATGAGTTTTACACTACTGTAAGGTCTTTAGTAATACCCATAACGTAAGTACTGCTGCCATTTTGTTATAGAACCAGAAAGTGGCACAGCAAAAACAATCCACGTTTTCCACCTTAGATTTTTTTAGAAGGATTTTATCTTGCAAACTAACTTGCTAACACTGTTAGTCTGCTGGGTACATGCTAGTCCGATGGCTCGTTCACATAGGCCGCCTGAGCAGTCCTCTCTTTCTGGGTGACAAGTGTGGCTCGCGGTAAAAATAGGCGAGACCTCGACTCTCTAGTGAAATATTGCTGCAGCCACAGCTCACAGAGTCTCACGCGGGCAATGTGTGAACCACCTGCAAGTCAGTCACGATAGCTCTTCAAGCTTCTCTCTACTTTCTCTGTACAATGAGACGATGATAACTCAGAATTGTACATAATTTCTTTCAATTAAGATGTATTGAAGTGGGAGAGAAGCTAACTGTAAAATAGCACACTTAACACAATTAATTCAAAAGATATATTTGTACCATCAAGTCCAGTTTCATAACTGTTTGCAAAGCCTTTTGTGGAGCAGTTTATATTCAAACATAGAAGAGGAGAGGAGAATAAATAAACGTGGATAGTGAAACACAGCTAGTTGTACTAAGCTACAATGGTAGGTTTGTTTACTGTTGGTCAATGGTGCAAATGTGTATGTCAAGGTTCAACCTGGTTAAAGAAAAATAAATCAGAGTCACTAACTGCTAAAGTATGCATATTAAATGTGTTGATGAAGTGGCAGGTACTGAGGTGTTGATGACACTGATGTCAGAGGGGTTTATTGCAGATGTGTCAAGGCACGTTTCTCTCATGTGACAAGAGAGAATTAATACTTTCCAGTCCTCATCTCCTGCAACAACTCAAAGAAGTGGAATAAGAGGAGAAGGAAGAAGAGGGACAAGAGGGCAATAAACCCTAATCAAAGCTCTTTATCTTTGTTTTTCCCTTCTCTTCTCTCTGCCTGTCTCTCCTATCTGTCCTCTGTTGTATCTCTTTCTGAACCTTTATCTACACATCTGTCTCTCAGCTCTGAAATATCTTTCGTCTTCTTCTTCTGTCATTATCTGCCTGTCTTTGCTTTGTTTCCACCTTGTTTCCACCTTCCACTCCCTGCTGTCCTCCCTCTAAGTATTTGTCCTCCTACCTCATCCATTCACATTAGGGGTTGTGTAATTGTAAAAAAAAAAAAATAGAAAAAGGATGAACTTTAAATAATAAATAATTTCTGCTATTTCAGCTGCGCATTGCCTGTAATAATAACCAGTAATACCGTATACAAATTACTTTGCAGTTCTCACTTGTAACACATGTGATCCGGAAGCATATTATTACTTTCATCTTTAATAAAGTATGCTAGTTTTTTTTTCTATTTCGGTGGTGATAATTCATATTTGCATTTTAATATAGCACAGGCAATACAGTTTCATTACATTTCTTCAGAAATTGCTCACACTGAATAGAATATTACATGCTTTGTTGCTGCCTTCTTCCATATAGAGCTCTCCAGTATCATTCAAACACATTCAAGCATCTCATTGTCTTCTCATTATTCTGAAGGGTCAATTTAAAGATGCCTCCAGCTATCCGATTTGACTAAAGATTCTCTATATATAGCTTTAACCGTTCCTGTCAGTATATCATGGCATATTTAAAGGTATTGCAGTTATCAGAAGTTAAGTAGAGAATGTACATTAAGCCAGTTAAGTCTGTAAATATATTTAAGCACGTACAGTATAATGACCCTCCTCTGACATCAATTTGACATTCATGCCCACTTAAGATGAATTATACATTATACATAGGATACATGCACCATGGCCATAAAGAAACTGAATAGTAATGTGGCATTTTTTCATTCAAACAATGTTTTTTCCTTAGCTGGTTAATTTCGGGGGGGAACAAGTCTTTAAACATATTCTCCTTCTACTGTGGAACATCTTCCCAGTATCTCACTCTCTGTTAGTTTTCTTATTTAAAATTATAGACCCTCTATTGTAACCTACTATTATTATTATTATTGTAATCTTTTATTTACTTATATTCTGTCCTTATTTACTTATATTCTATCCTTCCCCTTACCTCTAGGACTGCCTTCTTTCATTTACGTAATATTACAAAAATTAGACACATACTATCACAGACAGATGCAGAAAAACTAATCCATGCATTTGTTACTTCAAGGCTGGATTACTGCAACTCTTTATTATCAGGTTGCCCCAATAAGTCCATTAAAACGCTCCAATTAATTCAGAACGCTGCAGCACAAGTACTGACAGGAACTAGAAAAAGAGATCACATCTCTCCTGTACCAGCTTCTCTGCACTGGCTCCTTGTAAAATGTAGAATAGAATTTAAAATCCTCCTCCTCACCTATAAAGCTCTTCGTGGTCAGGCCCCTTCATATCTTAAAGAGCTCATAGTACCCTGTTACCCCACTAGAACACTATGTTCTCTGAATGCTGGGCTACTTGTGGTTCCTATAGTCTCTAAAAGTAGAACAGGAGCTAGAGCCTTCAGTTACCAAGCTCCTCTCCTGTGGAACCAGCTTCCAGTTGTGGTTTGGGAGGCAGACACCCTCACCACATTCAAGAGTAGGCTTAAGACATTCCTCTTTGATAAAGCTTATAGTTAGGGCTGGATCAGGTGAGTCCTGAACCCTCCCTTAGTTATGCTGCTATAGGCCTAGACTATCGGGGTATTTCCCATGGTGCACTGAGCTCCTCCCTTCCTCTCTCTTTCTGCACTCATTCATGTTCCATTAATGCATGTTACTAACTTCACTTCTTCCCCGGAGTTCTTGTGCTTTCTCGTCTCGCAGGTTCTTGTCGATCCTGGTGGAGCCTCCTGCCATGGTCCTGCTAGATTGCCATTGCCAATACTGTTGTTGCTGTGCACCTGTCTGTCTGTCTGTCTCTCGCTCTCTCTCTCTCTCTCACCCCAACTGGTCGAGACAGACGACCACCCACCTAGAGCCGAAGGATCTGTCCTAGGTTTCTGCCTTTTAACAGGCAGTTTTTCCTTGCCCTTGTCTCCAAGTGCTTGCTCATGGTGGTACTGTTGGGTCTCTGTAATTAATGTTTTAAAGAGTTCGGTCTAGACCTGCTTTATTTGAAAAGTGTCCTGAGATAACTTCTGTTATGAATTAACGCTATACAAATAAAATTGCATTGAATTGAATTACACCTTGATTCTGGCACATCCCCTTATTATGGGCTGGATATGATGCCTTCAAAGCTTGGATGTTAGGCACATACTGCTAATTATTAACAATTTATTAAATGAATGTTTATGTTTACAGTATTTACAATAGTCATGCCAATACGTCAAAATAGGAAAGAACTACAAGATAAAGAATGTGAGGCATCTGAATCATATACCTTTCATGCATTGTGTGACAATGCTTGAATCATATTGAGGGACAACAAGGTTGCACAGACAGTTTTGCACCAAGTTTTCAGCGGCAGAGTAAATTCAGGGCCTTGTCCTCTCGAACATCTGAATCACTACGTAACAAGTGACCCTTTGTTTACAACAGTGACAGAAAGAACCAGACTTTTATTGGGCTTATAGACCCATGCTTCAGTTTTTAATTTTGCTTCCCCGATAGTGCAAACTCAAAACTTACTCCTTGTTTCTTTGTCATCTTAAATTCAGACTTCCATAGCACTAATTCCATCAGCACAAAAACAGAGTTATATCTTACTCACCACTTTGCTGCTCTCAGTGTCTGAGAATGCTATTTTCATTCACTAATTAATTCCACTCCCTTCACATTTCTGTTTTTCCTGATCAATGTTAAGCTATCTTGAATGCAACTGGAATTAATAGGTTTCAAAATAGACACTTAGAGCAGCACAGTGGTGAGTATGGCCTTATTGTGATGTTGTACTGATGCAATTAGTGCTGTGGAAATGACATTATGCTGAATTTACTGCTCAAGCTGATGATGTTGGCCACAGCTAATCTCACCCCATTCATCTTTTTTTTGACCTGGTTCATATTAGCCACCAGCCTTTATTTGCTCTTGCCACGCCTCCTGATTTTATTTTAGACTGCCATTATTTAAACACACTACAAGGAGTTTTAACTGGTTATGGAACAGTCTGAATTTAATACTGATGCCTGTATATGACACATATAAACAAACAAGACCATCAGTGAGAAGATTGGCTATATATAGTTATTCTTAATGCCTGCCAGCGGGTCAGATTCGGTCGGATTTTCCCTTGAAATCAATGAAATGAGGCAGTAGAAACACTACTGCTTTAGTCCACAGGGGTGGTCAGAATAAAAACAAAATGAAAGTTCCTTTTAAATACAGGCTTTTATGTGAAAATCCATGGAATATATTTTCTATTACAGTATTACACCCTTTGCAGAAGCCATCAACTTTAGCATAGAAACACAGTGAGAAATGCAGAGCTAGTCAAATGGGTCCATCTGAGTTGAGTGGGGAAAAAAATCATCTGTTTTGCACATCACAGGGGCTTAAGCTGTTTATTTGTAAGTCAGTTTGCAGAGATAGCAGTGTGTGTGTGTACGTGTTCCTGTTTGCTGACGGGTAAGAGGAAAGCAGTTTTAATCACCACTAACCCTCACACCCTGCTGACAGCGTCAGAGAAGACCAGTCTCACCCCCTTCCTATGATCAGCCTCATCAGCTGTCTGCTTAGCCCTCCATTCATCTCTTTATTATTTATTTACCTCCACTTTGTACATACATATTCCCCAGGGAGCACATCCTTTGAGCATTTAAGCAGGGCTCCTGCAAAAGTACCTCAGCGGAGGAACTTTTCCACTCTATTTGTGTTTCACATGAAAACCAAGTTAGCTTTGAGTTTAACTCTGACATGTGCCTCTTTCCATTTGACATTTTAAAAAAAGGATGGAGAAGCTTCATTAAAAGTAATGTCTAGAGTTGGTTTGATTGATTTTATCTTGACATGTCTCCTAAACTAAAAACAGACAGCTCATTTATAAAAAATAATCACACTAATGGGAGGCCAATTAGAGGAACCAAATGACAGCGTATTCGTTCGTGCTGGTATTGATGTTGTACATACCAAATTAAATTAACACAGTCAATAGACATTCTTGCTCTTGTCTTTGGCTGTATAGCAACAACGGATCAAGCCAGTCCTCACTGTTTATCTTTTTGAAACATCACTTTTATTTGCCCATAGAGCCACCAACAGCAAATGTTGTTAGATTCATTAGATGAGGTCATACTTTGTGGGCACCAAGGTCAGTTTGTATTCCTCGGTTTCTGTCAGGGATCCTCAAAGTCTACTGTTGGCCATGTCATGTGACACCACCTCTGGGCAGGAAACCAGAGAGTCCCTCCAGAATACATCTTTGCATCAGAGCAAGGGCACGTTGGAGAAGGTTACTTTCTTGGGACAAAATACTTTAAAAAGGCAAATTATGAAGGCAAGGCTCTAAATTAACTTTTTTTCTCAGAGTCCCAAAACTGTCCTGGATTCTACTTTCAACTGTCTCAGACTTCACAACCATTCTCACAAATTGAAGTTCTTTTTTTTGTTCTACATAATGAATACAGTTTAGTAACTTTGTTTCAGTAACTTGCATCTCTTCATAGACTCACTATGGTCTGCCATGGAAGTTCTGCTGGTTGATTTCTGCACTTACAAATGAATAACAAAATTGGAATCACACTTGGTGTTTGTCCACAGTAAGTTTTCATGAGTCTTTTATTAATTAATTTGTTCGGTTACTGTTTTTTGTTGCTTCTAACTGCCTGATCAATAAATGCATCACTGTAAATTGCAAACTTGTTTCTGACTGCAAAGGCAATTTATGTACACACACTTTGAACATTATTATTATTTAGCCAAATAATCACAAAAAGGGGACATTATATATTTGAAGCAAAATTTTTTTTGAAAAAATCTACAAAGGGAGTGAGAAGATCATAATCAAATTAATATGTACAAGTTAAAACAAAGTATTTACATATTGTGTAAGCTATAGGAACACCATAATTCGGACACCCAGAGAAAGAGAGAGAAGCTTAGACATGCCTCAACTACTGACTGCCTGCACACAGCACAAGAGGAGAGGGAGAGGCCCCAGAGCTTTTGGAAGGAGAGCCATGCAGCATGCATGGCAATAAATTACAATATAATATATCTGAATATATTTCTCGCCTTTTTTTTAAAATTTATTATTTAATTTTATTTGTAATGATACGTTTCTCTGCTGTCCCACAAATGTCCCAGACACTGTATCTTTGTGTCCAGATGCTATTTTTATCTTACTTCCTTTCAAGTTTTAAGTAACACTAAACTGTTTTGTACAGTTTTAAGACTTTTTAAGGCTTTTTGTCTTTATATCCTCTTAAATTGTATTTTTTTTCTTTGTGGCTTAGTACTTCAGCAAGTAACAACCACAACTAAGACAAAATTCTTTCATTGAGAGAAGTTATAAAGGCTTCTGGATGTTAAGGTCAAAATCTGGAGGGCACCCCATGTTCCCCAGGTGTTCCATGTAAATATGAAGTCTGTTACCTTTCAAGACTTTTCTGTAAATGTTTCTCATCATTCGTTGTACGTATGGCTGTGCTCTAAAAATATCATCTCACATAAATGAAGGCAGATTAAAAACAAAGACGTGTCAAAACGCTAGAAAAAACAACATTACCATCAAAAATCAAAGTTGAGTAGTAACATACATTCCTTTCCAAACATTAAGCCACAACTCTTATCTGCCTTGCAAGGAAACTGGGACCAGGCAAGTTACACCTCACAATTAGTCTCGCAAGGCCAGACCTTGATTTACCTCTGCCGTGACAACATCTGAGGGGAATCGGCTAGAAAATGGCACTGCAGTGCTGTGTTGTGTAAAATATCGAGGTAGGTAGACCGACTGTTCATTGGGAAAAATACATAGTAGAAGCCAAAATGCGAAAGGTCAAAATATGCACTTGGAATACCACAACACTGTAAGACAAGAGCTTTTACAACCACTACAAAGATTGAAGATTACGTTGGCTTGGGATCACTTGGATCTCTTTTAAACTTAATTGGTAGGGTCACGATTGGACAGTGAGAAAACACAAATGTAGGTGTAACATCATCTGAGACCCACCGCAGATTTGGCCACATGGCTACATTTCCAACAAAACAACCAAAGCAGCAGGTAATAACTTGGATACTAACTTGTGACAAATATTCATTATGCTTGTGGATGGAGAACAAAGAAAACAAGTCACTTATTGTTTATTAAGGACATAAATATTACAAGAAAAAAAAAAAAACATGAGAACTAACATGCATGACAATCTTCCAAAGACTAAAACAAACAATGAATTGATCCTACTGACAAGTCTGTGTAGCCAAAGCCTAATAATCCTTTGTGCCATAGAGCTCCATTGTTGTCCAAAGACTATTAAAAACACATCAATATGCCACACCGTCGCACTTGCTGACATGTCCCTTCATTATGATGAACCTGGGCACTGTAGTTTATTTTGAGTCTAACCCACATACACCATCCTGCTGCCGTAAATGCTCACCAGCACGTCAAATCTGAAGCTGAAAATAGTCCCCAAAAATACATTTGAGAAACATTTGCTCTAAACTACTCTACACAACGGTTTCGGTAAACTATTTAGCCGTGGTTGAA